CTGCTGTTGCTGCTGCTGCTGCTGCGGTTGTTGCTGCTGTTGGTCTTGCTGTTGCTGTGACTGATGAGGCTATTGATGCTGCTGCTGTTGCTGCTTTTGCTGCTGCTGCTGCTGCTGCTGCGTTCGTCGATAGAGCGGTTTCACTGTCCCTGCTGCTCCTCTTGCTGCTGCTGCTGCTGCTACTCTTACTGCTGCTGCTGCTGCTGCTGCTGTTGCTGCTGCTGCTGCAGCGAGACAACGGATTCCCTGCGCTGCTGCATGCGGTCTCGGGCTGCCAAGGAGAGCCTTCAATAGTCAGACAAAGTAAACTCCCTGCTGCTGCTGCTGCTGCTGCTGCTGCTGCAGCTGTTGCTGTTGCAGCTGTTGCTGCTGCTGCTGTTGCTGCTCCTGCTATTGGCGGTGCTGTTGTTGCTGCTGCTGCTGCTGTTGGCCGTACTGTTGTTGTTGTTGCTGCTGCTGTTGTTGCTGCGTCTGTTCCTGCTGCTGCTGCTGTTGGTGGTGCTGCTGCTGCTTTTCTTGCTGCTGCATCTACGTTCTGCTTCCTATCGCTGCTGCTGCTGCTGTTGTTGCTGTTGCTGCTGCTGTTGCTATTGCTGCTGTTGCTGCTGCTGCTGCTGGTGTGGATTTTGCTGCTGCTTCAGCAGTTGCAGCAGCAGCTGCTGTTGTTGTGAGGATGTCTCGGGTGTACAGACAACTGCTGCTGCTGCTGCTGCTGCTGCTGCTGCTGCTGCTGCTGCTGCTGCTGCTGTTTTTGTTTGTGTGCAGTTCTTAGTGTCAAGGGTTGCGACCCCTCAGCAACAGACAAAGATAAAAACAACGTGCGTTTTCTGCTGCTGCTGCTGCTGCTGTTGCTGCAGTTGCTGCTGCTGTTGCTGCTGCTGCTGCTGCTGCTGCGGATTGTATATTTCGTGTTGCTGCTGCTGCGTTTGTGTTGCTGTGCTGCTGCAGGCTTTGCATTTGGCTGCTAGTAAGCTTGCTGCTTCTGCAGCAGCAGCAATGGCTGTTGCTGCTGCTGCTGCTGCTGCTGCTGTTGTTGTTGCTGTTTCATCTCCTGCTTATAGCTGTGCTGCATGCGCGTTGCTGCTGCTGCTGCTGCTGCTGCTGCTGCTGCTGCTGCAGCACTGGGACAGACGGAGGTTGTGTCTTTGCTGCTCAACAGAGGCGTCCCCCGCGAAGCCGTCAATGCTTATGGAGGTCTGTTGCTGCTGCTGCTGCTGCTGCTGCTGCTGTTGCTGCTGCTGCTGCTGCCAGTGCTGCTGCTGCTGCTGCAGTATCAGCATTTGTTTCCTGTTGCTGCTGCAGCGATATTTTGTTGCTGTCTATGCTGCAGCTACAACAGCTTCTTCTGCTGCGTATTTACACTTGTTTCTGCTCCAGCTTCTGCTGCTGCTGCTGCTGCTGCTGCTGCTGCTGCTGCTGCTGCTGCTGCTGCTGCTGCTGCTGCT